ATCGTAAGGAGGTTGCTAGAGAAAACCGAGAATATATCAAGAGCTTATTTAAGTATGTTATCTGGTTCACAAAGAATGAAGTTCCTATGAGAGGCAATGATGAAACTGATGAATCGAATAATCCTGGGAAATGGATCAGTTTTATCAAGCTACAACTCGAAACAAATTCCGCGTTTCAAGACCTCGACCAGAAGTTCATGGGTAAACGGACTGCAATGGACTATACGAGCAAGACTAGCATATATGAGTTGATTGAAATAATTGCTGATGGTGTTAGATCGGCTATTTGTGGCCAGATTAAGAATGGTGGAAGAGGACTTTTTTCCGTTCTAATAGATAAGAGCAAGGATGCCGGAAAGCGCAAGGAACTCGCGATAGCAGTTCGCTACTAGGTAGGGCAAGTTGTTGAGCGATTTTACGATCTGAGACCACTCAGAGACTTCGGTGCACGGTCTATTATGACATTCACTAAAGAGATCATCGATTTGATCATTGAAAGTACTAGAGCTGTTGTGATATCACTTGGAGCTTATGCCGCAAGTGTGATGTCAGGCCCATACGCAGGGGTTGCCGAGCTTTTACGCTCAGAACACTTTGAGTGGTTAAATTACATCCACTGCACTGCACATCGCTTGAACTTGGTCGTAAATGACATTATCAAGGGATCTCCATTGGCTCTAGACATCGTGTCTATGATGAATTCCCTCCACCCATTCTTTAACATTCCTAAAGTCAGGTCAGTTTACGAAGCCGTCTATAAAGAACTCAACCCAGGAAGGCAGCTCAAATATTTGCATCAGCAAATCGAAATTCGATGGGGATGTAAGTTCGAGGCAGTGGATCTGCTCGTGGACAAACCTCGGGTTTTTTTGGAAACCTTGGTAAGAGTAGCACAGAATCGAGATAACGTCCATGACCCAAAGCATGCTGAGCAAGCTGCAGGTTTCTACCACAAGCTGATTACAACAAAAGTGGTCATAGGCCTGATCGTGCTGAGGGCATATCTAGCCGAGCTGTTTTTTCTTTCGAAAGAACTTCAAACAGAATCTATTAATTGGACTGACGTCCAACACGAGTTGACAAGAAGCCGTGCTTCATTGAATGGAATCACAGATGGCCAACTTCTTAGAGATACCGAGAAGTTCTTCGAGTCAATAGGTTCACCTATGGATGTGAACCTAGACTGCCTTGCAATAGTGAGAAAAAGGTCTACATCAACACGGCAATCTGATTTCAACTTGCAGGGCAGCATCAATGAGATGAACTTGTACATGAGGGAAAAACTTAATGAAGTGATGAAGAGTTTCGAAGCCTTGGATGCCTCTAAGGAATGTTATCTTGATGATGGAACCCTTGAGCATCTTGTGAATCGTTTTCACTGTCTGGATGTCAACCACTCAATCCTGAAGCTGGAGCTAGTAAGAGCCAAGCAAGATTTCCAACTTGGCCTTCCCATTTCTGAAAGTCGGTGTCAAAACCTTATGAAACTTGTGGCATTAAAAAACACCGTAGCAACCTCTACAGCCTCAGCTGAAAGAGCATTTTCAGCGATGAACCGAGTCTGCAACAAGATCAGGTCAAGAACCACGGCTTCCCGGCTCGCAGACCTACTTTGTATCACCTTAAATAAAGACTTAGTGGCGGATCTGGACATTAACAGTCTTGTAGACTTGTGGGCCAAGAAGTCGAAAAGGCGTATCAACGTTTGAGACTATGAGTTTAAACTAAACTAAACTAAACTTAACATAAAAATTTATAATTGAAATTTGAAGTTATCAAATATCAATAATAAATTTAGTATTACCTGTTTGTATATAACAATGTACACTTGGACGCTCTATGCATGAGCATATATACATACTCTATATATACACACACTCGCATCTGCTCAACGTTCACCCCCCTAAAATTTCTAGCACCACCCCTGTACAAAATATGAAAATCCGTCTATGTACAGACTATTACCGGAAAATTACAAAGCAATGTTTAAGACCATACACGTAAACAGATCCAAATGCATTGTGCTGCTAGGCACCTGACTAAAGTTTTTAGTACCAAAGCACCTAAGGAATTTGGTCAATGCTTCACATTCAATTATGCATACTACACAGTATACCAAGGCCAGCCAGCTACAGTTGAAGAGTTTGTTGAAGGGACATTTAGGAAGTATATTAATAACAATGGCAAAGTATGTAAACAACCAGAAAGTGGCGGTGCTGACATGACAACCATTTTCGAGAAGGCAGAATGCTTAGTTCATTTCTCGTATGTTCAAACTTCAGAGAAATTGATGCTTCTTGATCTTCAAGGTGCAAAGTACTATTTATATGATCCAGAAATTGCAACAACAGAATTGCATAGCCAGAATGATGAAGTTTACTTCTGCTGTGGGAATCTATCAACCGTGAGCATTAGTCAATTTAATGGAAACCACACGTGCAACAAATTCTGTGAAATAATGGGTCTAAAACGTAACACCTTCCTGGTCAACAGTACATAAACAGCATAATTTTATTGACTACTGCACAAGATTTGGGGATTAGCTATGATTTTATTATAAAAGACATATGTTACATTATAAAGGAAATATAAATATGTTACAGCAATTTTTGCTATGTTATAAAATTGTTATGTTATCAAATAGTTATGTTTTGAACTGTTATAAAATTTTTATACCAAAAAAACTGTTAATCATATACAGCTATTTCAATTACTGTAATGTGGACAAATGTACAATGTGAGCACTAAAAGCATTATTGGAATATTGGTTTCCTGTAATAACTGAGTTAACATATCAGCAGCCTTGTAGGAATGCACACATAATGTATTTATGTATATATTCCTACAAGGCTACCAATGTGTTATTTAAACATGTCGGAAACTGATATATTCCCATCATTCTTTTAGGATGCTGCCTTGCAGCCGTAGAATATGTCTATATAATACCTATCAATAAGCAGAATAATTTACAGTTTTGATACAGATAATTATTAAAAACTATTTACCTAGCTTGAGATTATTCTGCCATGTCTATTATTTGCATATATGTAAATACTATATTAGATGTTAAAGTAAGTGGTATTGTAAAATGTATATATCTCTTGAAAATATAATATAACCTAACAGAAAACATCACATTTATGTTAATTGACTAGATGACTGCTGGTAATGGGTCTTCAGAAAAAAGGTAAGCAGCTGCAGCATCATTTGGCTTGATAGCATCAATTTCTGGAATTATCCTTTCACATTCAGCTCTCACATTTGGAGTCAAAAAATCGTCTTCTACAGTCATGACACCAGAGAGCTCAGCAACTTCGTCAAGTGCTTCCTTGCTTACTGGAAAACCTGTCAACATATTACATGTAACAAAAAATCTAATTGTAATAGGAATTGAAGAATGTTTAAAAAAATTGTGTATTTTAGGTTATGAAGTTACTGTACCACATTGTTCTGCTCCATACTCCTCCCAGACTGGAATCCTTGCAAATTGCACCGGAGAGAAATATTTGTGTCTGCTTTTCGCGCAGATAACACGAGTGGCGAGGCCGAGTGCCTGAGCTGCCTGCAACTCGAGCGCCAACAGGGCTAAGGAGTAGGTCAGTAGGTGGGCCTTTGAAATAATATTTTCAGCGTTCATTATTAATATAAATAATTGCTACACAGCTACTACATTAACGTAGAAACGTTAACAATAACATATGTTTTAAAAAAAAACTGTTGCTATTTACAGCAGAAATGGCAATGGTGCCGGTGCATTAGCATGTCTTGAAATAACAATTGACATGCCATTGTTCTGTTTAACCATAGATCTAGTGTCTTGAAAAATTGGCAACCGATGACGTTTAAGTCTAGCAGCTTTATCGCCTTTCAAGTATAGTGCTGATATCTCTTTTACAGGTCTTTCGCATTGGATTGTCGGACGGAAACAGCTGTCGATTCTTGATCTCATGCTGAGAGTTGATAAATTCTGACCTCCATCCATTTCTTGAGTTTCGACAATACGATAGTGCGATTCTGCTGGTGCTTCCGTGCCCAACTTCGCATATATAATGTCAAATACAATGCAGAATTCTTGACCAATTGACTGAAAAAAATTGGTATTTGTGTAGACTGCAGAGATGACAGCATCTTCTTGCAAAACAACTTTGATAGTGGACTTATCAGAAAAGGTGACATCATATTTCTCTACAAGGTCAAAGTCATTTTCAAGAATCTTTTGAAAGGATATAACTTCAACACCTTTCTGAAGTAAGACATCACATAACTTCGAATCTTTTGTGATCATTCTTTGGAAAAACGTCGGGAAAAGACTCTGCAAATGGCACCCCCATACCACATCAATAAGTGTGCTTTTCAACTTCCAGAAGATCTGCTGAGCAAAACCGGTTCCTAAATCTAATCCTTCGTCCTCAATCAACTTCTTCACGTGTGGCAACGAGGACGTGTAACGAACGCATTTAGAAAACGCATCGATACCCACGTGTGAATAATCGTTTCGATTCACAGGACTTTTCCCACCAGTTGCCCTCTCACCACAAAGTCCATCGAATAGCATACCAAAATCCAGGCATTCGGCAACAAGTTTATTCAATTCTGGCATGCTACTGGATCTTTCTTTGAGGGTCTCGACTAGTGAAGTGGCGAAATCTGCAAGCTCGTTTTTGCAATCATTTACCTCCCCCATTTTCCAATGGAATTCCGGCTTAACTGGCTGTGTACTTCCTTGAACATCATCAGGATTTGCATCGCTAAGATCATCATCAGAATCATGGATATCTTCATCCTCATGTAAATCATCTTTTTTCATCAATAGCCAACCATCTTCAAGGGATGCTTTACCGTACCTTTTCTTTAATATTTCCGTCCCACGTTTCGAGACATTTGGGCATACTGACTTTGCAGGATTCTTCTTGCGAATTTCTTTACTGAACAATTGTAGATGTTTTGACGCTTTGTTAACCCACTTGTGGAATTTCCAACCAGGACACATCAAAGACTGTGCTCTGAGTTGCAACAATACAAGAGGCCATAGAAGATCAATCATTCCCATCAGATCATAAAGAAAGTCTTGCCCAGCCATTTGATAAAGCAATTCCGGCGTGTTGTTATGATCTTTAAATGTCTCGATGTAGACATCAATGCTTTGCTCTAGTTTCAGAAATTGCTTATAGCTGCTACTTAAAAGCCTTTGTTGGGCAAACGAGCTGTTGTGGCGGCATTCCTGTATTAAGCAATGTTGTCAAAAGAAACTTCTTCAATTCCTGATCGATATAGCAGCAAGCGACTTGGATTATATCATTAAATTGTTTTCTGCTATGGCCGAAGTCACCAACATCAGCTCCAGCAGTGAAAAGTTCAGCTATGGTGGTCTCAAAATGCATTGCAGCGGATTTCTTTTTCACGATATCAATAGCGGTCTTAACAAGATTTTCAGTGACATGCATTTCTCTCTTTCTCAAAGAACGGGTTTGTCGCCACCAGATTAAGGTATCTGAATGTGTTTTGTTTTCTCTGGAGTATAAATGGGAAAGAAGTCTGTTCTTCAGCCTGTACCAGGTTTCATTGTGCCCGTTCTCGAGCAGGGTTAAATTGTTCTTCAAATCCAACCCTTTGCTCAGCGATCCTGTTGAAGCGCTACATGAAACGTTTGAAGCATTTAGGAATTCTTTACATATTTTGCAACGAATTACACACGAACCTTTCTCCTCAACCAATTCAATATCTTTTTCTAGCTGCAGAAAGATGTTAATATTATCTGCTTTTGATCCTGGTGAATGCTCTCGATGTTTAATGTCTATGGAACTTTTAACGCTAGTTTTTGTTTCTTGTTCCAAATTCTTAGCAACATTTTCTGCGATCAATTTTGCTAAAGTAGACATATCGGTCTTGGTCATACCCATTGTATTCTCTGTTTTCGTATCACTATTTACACATTGATCAAGAGATCTTTGCAATTTTGTAATATTTTGTGGAAAGTTTGCAAAGGCAGATTCTTCATTCTGATTTCCAGGGAAACTTTTATCATCTGTGCCGCTTGATCCTCCAGAGTTTGACAATAGAGCTTTTTGAAGAGTGCCTGTGCTCAGTGTGCTAGTTTAAAAGAATGTTATACAGTAAAAGATTAATTATGAGTTAGGTATAATAATGAACAATAATAATATTAAGTAAACATCAGGTGATTGAGGTGAACTAGGTTAATTCTGCAATCTCTCCAGACCATTATATATATATATATATATATATATATATATATATATATATATATAATATATATATATATATATATATTAACATCTTTCATTTGCTGCTATGTATTGTTGCGCATACGATTTCTCTCATTACCTTTCAAGTCTTCTGTATTCTCTGGCTGCATCTGCTGAGCGAGGATCATCAATGCTGAAGATGTCCACCATGCACCCATTGTGTACATTTCTTCTGTGAGGATCTATTGTAGACTGGTTGTAACGACCCAACCAAAACTTTTTTTTCCAAGTTCTTTACCTTTTCCAAGCTCTTTAAATTCTTTATATGTGTCATAGCATGACATACATAACGCTATTTTGGTGTTTTCATGAGCACCTTTAGCTCTCTTTGTAACAACAGTAGAAGATTGTGATTGTACCTTTCGTTTGCTCATCAATGCAGTAAAAGCTGTTAAAATTGAAAACCGTCAATATATATGTTTGTAATATATTTGAAGTTTATTCCTTATAGGTGTGTAAATTGTGAATTGAAAATGTACTAAAATATTGTTATTATATTATGAGCACCACATGACCACAACCAGCAAAATAAATTAATCTTGATTAAAACACATTTTGAGAGCTAATGAGTAATGAGCTAAAGTTTACACTCAACAAATGTATTCAAATATACATACCATTCTTTTTGCTGTCTTTGTTGTCATTTACATTAATAGTACCTTAATTAAAAAACTAGAATTAAATATAAACACTTTATATCCACAAATAATCAGCAATTTCAGCATACTGGCTTACTGTATAATATAATAAATATATTACTATCTATAATTAAAGTCACAATATTCACAATATAAGTATTCTTAATTCTTAAACATCTCATCTGCATTTCTAATATAATTATATGTTCATATGATATAATTATATATATTAGCAATGCAGATGAGATCATATTGAGATGTGTTTATTTAATTGTTTGACATGCCATATGTCATATGATACACATACATAATTCAATATTGAGATACATTAGTTGTTTTGTACTTACTAGATTTAAAAACTTCTTTATTTTTCAAACAGTTGTTGCAAACAACTTGTCCTCCATAGCCCTCGTCTTCCTCGTTACCTTGCCCACAAATAGCATGCACAGTTTCGCTGCATATTTTGCACCTATGAGCTCCATTGCATGACTGCTCACAAACACAACACACTATTGACACTAACTTTTCCTTATCCATGATCCAACAGATCCATCACTTCAGATCAATAATACCTTCTTTCAAAAAAGCTAAAGAGAATC